TCAAAGGCGTCATCTGCCTCTTGTCTCAAAAGCGTCATCTCCCTCTTGTTACCCTTCCATTGTGTTCCACACCACAAAATCAAACGAGAGTCGGTTCCGCAGCTTCGTTACCTCCAGTTTCAAGAAGCTTCTGCCGCGGCGGCCAGATTCCGATACAACTATGGCAGCAATTGATTGTTTATATTGGACCGTATCGGACGTATTGGGCCTATTTGCCCAATCCAAGTTTAGTCTATTGTACTTACTTGCCGGTTGAGGGTTTATACCCGGTTGTGTTTTTGGTGATAGGGTATAAATAGGCTTCCTTCATCTCTTGTAAACCCTAAGAACACAAGAGCTACAGCAGCCATACTATCATAGTGAAGCTTCTTATTCGAGAGCCATGCTCTCCGTGGAGTAGTCCTAGCTATTTGCTGGGGAAACCACGTAATTCCTTGTGTCATTTATTTCCGCAATTCTCCGATTTTACATCATATCAGAGCTGTGACGATCACAACACTCCTTTAGTACATCATGGTGGGCACAGACGATGGTTCCAAACCGCAGACCAGTGACAAAGGCCTCATGGGTGTGTCTGGCGATGGCGGTGATGAGATCCCGATGATCAACACCATCGGTTTCTTGCACCAGGAGAAACTCAGTGTCTCTGCCTTCTATACACGGTTACGGGCTTTGTGGAATGAGATGCAGATGATCAGCACCACGCCGCGTTGCACCTGCGCGGGCTGTACGTGTGGTGGATGTCGGTGCGATCTCCCTAAGCAGCACCAGGACAAACTTGAAAATGAGCAACTTTTTGAGTTCCTGCTCGGGTTGGACGACTCATTCTCTGTCGTTCGCAGTCAGATTCTCAGCATGCGGCCTACCCCGACCTTGTCCGAGGCATATCAGTTGGTCTCGGCAGAGGAGCAACATCGCCATATAACTAGCAGTCGAAGGCAAGTGATCGAGACAGCTGCCTTTCAAACTCAATCGGACACAGATGCTCCCGCCGATTCGGAGAAGCCGCGTTGTTCCCATTGCAACAAGCTGGGACATCATAAGGAAACATGCTATCGACTCATCGGTTTTCCACCAGGGCATCCTCGTGCGAAGCAAGGTGAAGGTCGGAATGCTCCTCCGCGTCGCTCCAAAGCAGCTCACGTCGAGCCAGAAAATAGTGAGACTCATTCCATACCTGCTCACTGCTGCCCAACTAGCTCAACTCAAGCAATTCCTCTCGGGTTCGGCTCCTGATGCGGTTTCTGAGCCGACGGCGCATATGGCGGGTAATCCTTCTGCTCTTTATGATTGGTTAATCGATTCAGGTTGTAATGAGCACATCGTTAAGGATGCACGTTGGTTACATTCTCTGGATAGTACGAATAGCTTCTCTAGAGTACAGATACCAGACGGGACAGGAATTCCGGTTCGAGGGGTTGGTTCTGTGCAGTTGACACCTTCTCTTACTCTTAGCCGAGTGTTACATGTGCCCGATTTCAAGTGTAATTTGCTCTCTGTGAGTCGTTTAACTCAGGATCATAATGTGGCCGTAACATTCATGCATGATTTCTGCGTGCTTCAGGCCTTACCTTCCAGGACGCTGATTGGCGTCGGTAGACAGCAGGATGGAATTTACTACTTCCAGCGTGTTCCCAGGCAGCCAATCCCTCAGGTGTGTAAGGTGGTTGGTCGAGCAGACGCGGTGGATTTGTGGCATGCCCGCATGGGGCATCCTTCTTTTGATCGATTAGCATTGTTGAAGGATTTTGTGGATTGTGATTTTAGTTCTCGGCAAACTTCCCATTGTGATTCATGTTTGCGTGCTAAACAATCTCGCACTCCGTTTCCTCATAGCTCAATCAAAACTACTGGTTGTTTTGATCTCATCCATATTGACATTTGGGGGCCGTATAACACTCCGTCTCTTGATGGGTCTCGTTACTTCCTCAATGTCGTTGATGATTTTAGTCGTGCGACGTGGATATATTTAATGTGGTTTAAGTCCGATGTTGAGCGCTATCTCAAGCTGTTTTGTGAGATGGCTTCTACTCAGTATACTCGGATCGTCCGTCGCATCCAGGCTGATAACGGACTAGAATTTCAGACAAATTCTCTCCGTCATTATGACGAAGCCAAAGGCATCGTACTGCAGACTTCTTGCACAGATACTCCGCAGCAGAACGGAGTTGTTGAGCGTAAGCATCGTCACCTCTTAGAGACCGCCCGAGCTCTTATGTTCCATGCTGGTCTGCCCGTCCGTTTCTGGGGAGAGTGCGTACTTACTGCTGCTTACTTGATAAATCGCCTTCCCTCCCCAGTTCTCTCCATGAAAACACCTTTCGAGCTACTTCTGGGTGGTCCCCCGACTTACTCCCATCTACGGAGCTTCGGCTGCCTCGTGTATGCCAAAGACACCCATCACGGCCTTGATAAGTTTGCTGACAGGGGGAGAGCTGGCGTCTTTATTGGGTATCCTGGTACACAGAAGGGTTATCGTATTTTTGACTTGAAGAAACACAAAGTGATTGTCTCACGCGATGTACACTTTGTTGAGGGCACCTTTCCTTTTCGCCAGCATGGTGAGACTCACGGTACCTCCCCTCCCGTTCCATCTCCACGTCAACCTATCCTTGGCATGCATGAACTTCCCGTGCATCACGTGGAAGGTGCACGTCCTGGGGATGCCACTCCCGTGGCCGATGATGACGCGTTTGATCACTTGAGCTCTACTGATTCTGATGACTCGGCGACTACGTTGCCCTCCACCTCTTCCTCCTCTCCTGTGGATACTAGCAACTCTCCGCCGCTCATCAGTTCCCCTCCTCAGACTGATTCGGCTGATGGTGCTTTGGATGAGGGACATGTTGATCCTGGTCATCTCAATCCATTGCCTTCCCCCCGTCGTTATCCGACAAGGAACTGCAAGCCTCCTTCCCGGCTCGACGTCTATGAGGTAGAGTTCCCTGGTCCTTCCTCCCATCAGGTTCGGTTTCCCCTTTTCCACTATGTGAATTATCATCGCTTCTCCGCTAACTACTGTGCATTCTTGGCTGCCATGTCCTCCATTGTTGAGCCTCGCCATTTCTCTGAGGCTGTCAAATATGAGTGTTGGCGCGATGCTATGAAGAAGGAGATAGCGGCCCTTGAGGAAAATGGGACATGGACTATGGAACTGCTCCCGCCTGGCAAGCGCGTCATCGATGCTAAGTGGGTATACAAGATTAAGTTCAAGCCCGATGGTTCGGTTGAGCGCTATAAAGCTCGCCTCGTTGCCAAGGTTTTTACTCAGCTCGAGGGGATTGACTTCCATGACACGTTTGCTCCCGTCGCTAAGTTGGTGACTGTTCGAGTTTTATTGGTTGTTGCTGCTCAGAAAGGCTGGACGCTCCACCAACTCGATGTCAACAACGCTTTTCTTCATGGTGACTTAGAAGAGGAAGTTTATATGCGTGTGCCGCAGGGGTTTGCCAAAGACGGCGATCAACGTGTATGTCGCCTCCGGAAGTCTCTCTATGGACTTCGACAAGGTTCCCGGAATTGGTACACCAAGTTTACCGAGTCTCTGATCGAGTTCGGGTTCACTGTTTCCAAGGGAGATCACTCTCTCTTTATTTACCAGGCAGCCGGGGTGTTTGTAGTGGCTCTGATCTACGTTGATGACGTGGTTTTGACTGGCAATGATGCAGCAACTATCGCTCGCGTTAAGACTTTTCTCCATGATCAATTCAGCATCAAGGACTTGGGGCCCCTCAAGTACTTTCTGGGTATCGAAGTTGCCCGGTCACCGGAGGGTATTGTTCTCTGCCAACGCAAATATACCCTTGATATCTTGGCGGACTCTGGCCTAGCGGCAGCTCGTCCCAGTGGGTTTCCTATGGAGCAAAATCATACGCTCACGCGTCCCTCTGCTGACCGTGCTGATGATGTGAGCTCCTACCGCCGTCTGGTTGGGCATCTGCTGTACTTGACTATTACTCGGCCCGACATTGCATACTCCGTCAATGTTCTTAGCCAATTTTTTCATGCTCCTTGCCCGGACCATGTTGCCGCCGCCCACCGTGTCCTTCGTTACCTCAAAAGTGCGCCAGGGCAGGGCTTGTTTCTTCCGGCCACCGGCAGCTTGGAGCTTACTGCTTACCGCGATGCTGATTGGGGTGGCTGTCAATCTACTCGAAGGTCTATGACAGGCTATTATATACAGTTCGGTGGTGCTCCGGTTTCTTGGCGTGCTAAGAAACAACGCGTGGTTGCTCGTTCCTCTGCTGAAGCTGAGTACTGCGCAATGGCTAGTGCTACCAGTGAGGTTTTATGGCTTCGGTTTCTTCTTAGTGAGTTGCAGGTTCTCCAGAGCCTTCCTACTGTTCTCTACTGTGACAATCAGGCGGCTCTCCACATTGCTGCCAACCCCGTCTTCCACGAGCGTACTAAACATGTGGAAGTGGACTGCTATTTTGTTCGTGAACGTGTAGCTTCTGGTGAGATTCAGCCACGGAAGGTGGACACACGCTCACAGCTAGCTGACATCTTTACTAAAGCTCTGGGAACGGAATAGTTTCATGCCTTGTTATCCAAGCTTGGCATTTGTGACCTTCATGCTCCAGCTTGAGGGGGAGTATTGGACCGTATCGGACGTATTGGGCCTATTTGCCCAATCCAAGTTTAGTCTATTGTACTTACTTGCCGGTTGAGGGTTTATACCCGGTTGTGTTTTTGGTGATAGGGTATAAATAGGCTTCCTTCATCTCTTGTAAACCCTAAGAACACAAGAGTTGCAGCAGCCATACTATCATAGTGAAGCTTCTTATTCGAGAGCCATGCTCTCCGTGGAGTAGTCCTAGCTATTTGCTGGGGAAACCACGTATTTCCTTGTGTCCTTTATTTCCGCAATTCTCCAATTTTACAGTTTATGTGTCTCAGTGGTGGATGGTGATTTTCAGAAGGAGGAACTCGACCGGTTGCTGTTCTCCGATTTTACAGTTTAATGCCCCGTTTCTACTGGCTATTCCCCCGATGGTCTTCTAGACGTTCCACAGCCGGTCAACGTTGTAGTGGTGGACGTAGAAGATCGGGTCCCTCCCCGCGGAGTAGAAGTTGCCCATGTCCTCCCCGAACTGCTGGTTGTGGCCCCCGGTCCACAGTTGGGCCATGTTGTGGAGCCGCTCGGACGTCCCTCCACCTCCTGCAGGCGGCAGCATACTCACATGCTGCCTATCATATCATGTAGATCGAGCTTCTTTCCTTGGACGAGTAAGCGCACACACACATATATTGTTTCCTAAAGGCTAGAGATCCTACATATCGAATGGGTTGTAGATCTTTTTTCTTGTTTTACACATGTTGGTGGGTTATAAATTTGTTGATTTAGGGCTTTGTTATACATCTGTCTGTGTTCATGTAGCTAGTGATGAGAGTATGAGACTATTTACATAAACAAAAGGATATATATATACAGAGGTTCTGCTTTGAACACTGTGTTTCGACAAATAGTCTAAAGGACACTAGAAACCTCGTAATACAAATAATATGTACATAGTTCTAAAGCACACTAAAAATCTCCTAATACAAATCATAACTGTGATAAAACATACCAGAAATCTAACAAAGCAAACCATAAAATTTTCAAAAGCACACAAAAAACTACATAATGCAAACCACAAACACGACAAAGCAAATCACATAAAACAACCAGATTCTTCCTAATGCATAACACAAATATATTAAAACAAACCAGAAACCTCACAAACCAGACCACAGAATTTTCAAAAGCAGCCAGAAACCTTCTAATGCAAACCACAAAAGCAAACCAGAAACCTTAAAACAAACCAGAAACCTTGCAAAGCAAACCACAAAAGTTTCAAAAGCACACAAGAAACCTTCTAATGCAAACCACAAAAGTTTCAAAAGCACACCAGAAACCTTCTAATGCAAACCACAAAAGCAAACCAGAAACCTTCTAATGCAAACCACAAATATATTAAAACAAACCAGAAACCTCACAATGCAAACCACAAAATTTTTGAAAGCAAACCAGAAACTTCTTAATGCAAACCCCAAACACGATAAAGCAAACCAGAAAAGGCATACAAAAATATGAGAAACCAAACCATAAATCTCACAATGCAGACCATAACACCCGGTGATCGTTGACCAAACTCCGATGACCGTCAGTGAGCAGATTGGGGGGCCGATAGGCATATTCCGGCCCCGATGACTAGATTTCGACGTCGGTAAACATATTCTGACGCCGGTAAGCATATTCCGGTGACCGGCGACCGGTGGCAGAATTCCGGCGACCAAAATTTTGGGCAGAAAATGAAAAAATATATTTTATTTTTATTTAAACATATTTTCATAATGATAATTATACCCCGCTTTGATTTTTCACTAGGTCAACTAAGCTAATAAAAAATCATCACAACCCTAGCTTCCTATTGGTTGGAGACTAGTGTTGTTACAATAACAACAAATATGGTGTTGTCACCATATCCGCTCTCACTTACTAAGCCCACACAATTACTACCCACGTAAGCTAATAACCCACTAACCTACTAAACCCTAGACTAATTAACCCATTAACACAAATACATATACTAACCCCAAAGCCCAACATTTATCTCATCATGTTGAGAAGAAGTTTTTCTGGTTCTCTATCCTAGGGAGAAGGAAAAATAAGATACAGAAAAGTAAAGAGAGAGGAGAAAGATGGCAAATAAAATAAATGGAAATGTTGATAGTGGGAAGTTTCTCTCGGTTTTGGAGGGGTGGATTCAATAGTAATCTTTTCCTTTTTTTTTTCCTTCACCTTGTCACTGTTCCAAAACTAAAAAACAGGAGAAAGTGCATTGGTTCGGCAACTTTTCACTCATTTCTTTCCCTCCCCTCCTTTTCCTTCTCATAAAAACATAGTGTTAATAAACCATTCGTTCAAGAGGACATATAATATAGCTGATAGCATGCATTTGTTCGTGCATCTTCTCCACTAATTTGAAAACCTCAAAATTTTCATGATGTCATTCAAGCAATCCTAATCAATCATGTCATAAACTTTCTTCGTGAGCAATTTTAACATCATATTCCAAATTGCCCCTTTAGATTGGATTTTAAAATGGTGCATCACCTTATACATATATATGATATTTTCCTTGATAATACACCAATTGATAAGAACATATTACATTTCAGACCCCAAGCTAAAAATCCATTCTTTCAGCCTATAGGCCATGAACTTACATAGGATCTTTTATCCAAAATCGTCACAACTTATAGACCTGAATTAAGAAATGATCTCCTACTACAAGATCTCTCCACTTTTTGAAAGAGTGATTAATTATATCTCCATGGTTTAAACAAGTTGTTCTGTTTCAGGAATTCTGAGCTGATTGGTGCGAGTCTACAGACTACAGGATATGTTGGGCTCAACTTCATTCAAAATGGGCTTCAGACCTGTTCAGAAGGTGCCAGTATAAGCCCACCAGGAAGCACAACCCAGTGGTGAGTTTGGGCCTTTAAATACTTGGCAGCATCACATCTCCGACAGACAGACGAATCCAAAATTCCTGCACCAGACGCTATTATTTACTTTATTATTATACTGCCACCAAAGTACGATTCCAGTTCATCAATCACGCTATTTTAATCTTTTAATCAGATGGCAAAAGGGCAGCCAGCAGAAGAAAGATTTCTCGCGATCTTCAAGAACACAACCACTGAACAGAAGGAAGCCAAAACCATCCACCACACAATGCAAGGGGAGGTTTTTGGAAGGTAATGGACATGCATGAGATTCATGAGAATAAGACAGACACAGTTTCGAGAACCAAAGGAGACATCTTTTTGGTTCCTTTGACTCTCGAATTCAATGCCAGCAAATTTGGTCCTATCCCCAATCCAAAATAGAACAAAACCCTTCTGTTTTGTTCTTTTTATCCTATCTCCATTTTTGCTTGGTGGAACACGATTTACTTCTTCCTGGTTTAAATCTAAGTTTGACTGGTCTCTGTTTCCTTGACTAGCATCTTCCAAAATGCGTAATAAGAAGCGCCAAGAAGGAGGGGGGAAAGGAGGTGGCCTTTGTGGGATTCCACCACGTGGCAGAACCCATTTGTGATTTGTCTGTCTGTCTGGCCGCTTGGAAGGTTACTACTTGAAGTCTAGAAGGGCAGGGAGTGAAGTGGAGTCGGTAGTGGGGAAGCAAAAGAAACAGAGATTTTTTTTCCCCCCGAACCATGTGAGTTGACAGCCAACGTCGTTTGGGTAGAAGCCAAATTGAACCCTAAAACGGACTCTGCTCTCTTTTCCCCTACCACGTCTGTGTTCCTCTTCTCTCAAAAAAACCCCACACATGGATGATGATTGTGTTACAGACCACCTACTAGATTGCTGATTCATGTGGTGGAATCAATAATTGGAGTCCTAGAGAGAGGGTTTAATAGAATAGTGGTATGGTAATTCGTACTAAAATATGATTTAAATGTGGTTCAATCATTTCATATCGTGAAAATGGCTTATCAGTTTGAAATTTGGTGTCCGGTATCGCATTCCCGCGGAACGATAGATTACGGTTTTTTAAAACATCGATTCAAAACCAAAGAAAAAATTGACACAATTTCACCTCCAACTCGATACATTATAGCGGTCGACCTGCTGGTTAACAACTTGGTTGTTACCAAACCTTAAACTTGTAAAAGAAGAATACCTTGATCTTAATGGCTAAAATAAGTTGTTTTTAGCCAATGTCTATTTATTTTTTGTATGTGGGAGCTGTATAAGAAGACAAAATCCAGGAACTAGTGTGCAGGATGAATTCTACAGAAAGACGAAACACCAAATTAGCCGACGCCATGTTGTCTCCAGGATGCCAGACCCTGCTTACTGTAATGATGAGAAAGAAGCAAATCCAGGGGTCAGTTTCAGTAGAAGGTTTGCCAACTAATTGTTTCAGTTTTTTAATTTGGGTCTAGAGATGCATTTGGAAGTCTTCCCCTTGTAGTAGAATTAAAGGCAGCCACTGGAACTAACTAACGTGCACAAGATCAGAAATCCATATTAAGACTTTCCTAAAGAGTGAGAAGAGACAGCTATAGCTCTCTGCAATAGAACAGGTGGCTCCTCTGTCAATAAAAGGGTTACTAATCCTACCCTAGTCTTGTTCGAGTGAAGCTTAACCGTATTCAACTGCCAGTCAATGATATATCTAATGATCATATACGCAACCCAAAGAGATCAGGGAATTCAGGATCTTGGAAATGACAAACGCAAATCTTGTGGAAAAGAAAGAACATGCATGTGCTTTGCTTGAACAAGACTTAAAGGCCATGATTTCAGTCGATATTTCCAGCTAGCCATGATATATGTGCTGTGTGTATTAAAACATTATGCCTGAAGCAGAGAAGCAAATGGGGGGGGAAGCAAGCATAAGAAACGATTTCAGCCAAGTGTAAATCTGTCGGTAAAACTGACCTGAGAGCTGCCAGAGGGGAGGAGGTAGTAGAGCAGAAGAAATGGCAGCTGGAGGCCTCTCTTCCACACGTGCTCACATGGTGGCTTGCAGATCACAACATTAACCCCACCAAGCTTCTGAAGCAGTGCCGAGTAGTACCTGGTATTTTGGTAAGAAGAGAAAGGGGGGGAAAGTCATTATCACAACCTCTTAAAAAATTCCATTACTGTGTAAAAAAACACATCAGGTAAGGGGTAAGTTAACCCACTGTTTGATTGGGGATTGAGGGAGTACCTCCCTTAAACTAGCTAGGAGCCATAAGAGAAAAGGGCAGCAGCCCTCCAGAGAAAAAAAATTGGGAGTGGAGGTGGGGTGAACCCTGCTCACGTGGTCCCTTCTGAAGGGTCGGTATCTGCCAGCTCATTTCCCCCTCTGCCCTTATTTTCACTAACAAGTCAAAGCTTGGTCAAAAACGATTACAGCCCCAAAACTATGAATAATGCCATAATCAATCACCCCACATATGGATGGCCTGGCCTGGCCTGGCCACGCTACTCCTACTGCTACAGTACTCAGTGCCCTGCACTGGCCTGGCCTGGCCTGCTACCCACCACCCACACACTAATAAGCCAGCCAGACCCTAGCCCTTTCAGATTCAGCCTCCTTCTTATCTGGATTAGGACTCTCTGCATACACTGACCACTGTTCCACTCACTGCTGTTGTTTTTCCTTGGCTTGGAAAAAACTTAGCTGAAAACTTGAAAAAAAAGATGGACCTTTTTTTTTTTACCTTTTCCCTCTTTCTCAAAGAGTCCTAACCATATATCTCTAATCTCTAAATACAGCAGCAATCCTGTTGCTTTCCATATGCCAGCCAGCAATGCTACTGGGCAAAACTGCCACAGTATCCCCTCCTTCCCTCCAGCCTTTTCTAATTTGCTTGGTAGTTGGCTTTTCTCCACATGCAAATGAAATATGTGCATGTGTGACATGAACATGGATAATCATAAAGACAAAGACATGAACATGCATGGACTAACATGCATAGCCATAATAAAAAATGGGGGCAAGTAAAAATTACCCACCAAACAGCCATTGACATGGGGAAATTATTGTACAGAGAGGTCTTTCGTTGTTACTGTCTACCAGGTAAAAGGTACTTTGGTGTTCTCATGTATTTTTCTAGCCGTTGGTTTCAAAACCACACAACCTTACAAAGGTAAACTCCATGCTGGTTTCAAAGAATTAAAAGCTAATTTACAGTTACCCCTAAAAAAGAACTAATTGACAGTAGTTGCAATGGCATATCAGGAGTATTATAAAGGGAGAGAAAGAGAAGAACATTGATGAACACACACACTGATACACAGTAATTCCGAGAACCTTCGAGGAACCTGTCCAACATTATTTTTCAAAGGAGAAAAAAAAAGCTTGGCTCCTCAAACAGAGAGTCAAAACTCAAATGCCTATATTTTATTATGATAAAGGGTGTATGTATATCCAATAGCAAAAGAGTGAAGGAACAGACTGTCTTTGAGAATGGTGCATATATATGTATGCACATTGCAGAGCTGCTCTGCCATCAGCTTTCTCTATATTTTAATCATTAATTAAAAAACTTAAGTGATCTTAACTATCACAAATACTCTAAAAAGGGGGGAAATTAGCAGAGGATTAATTAAAAAAAAGGGACAGTGTAGCTTCAAAACTGGTCATATCATTGAATGCCCAGTACTGAACATGTCATGACAAAACAACACATCATGGGCATGCATGCAAGAATTCAAAAAAAGGAAATTTTGAGACCAAAAAAATTAAAAAAATAAACAGAACCCCACACATAATTCCTAGCACTTTGTTAGCTAGCTTCCTCCCCAGCCTAGATATAAATACAGACACTCCTTGGTGGGTTTGTAACAGTGCCTGAAGCTGAAGGAGGGTCCCCTGCAGAATTTATTAGAGGCCTTTCTTTTGCTGGGTTGGTGTTATATTTCTGTTCCTCCCACCGTTCTCATTCCCCACTTTCTTACTTACTTCTGTTGGTTCTGAGATCCCTCCATGGCATGCTTAGAAATGTACAACTCCGACCAGCAGCACAAAGGCCACCATTGCCCGCCAATGAGCCCAAGAATCTCCTTCTCCAATGACTTTGTAGATTCTCAGCAGATGATGAGGCAGCAAGAGAGAAGCCCCTTGTCTCACCCTCCTCCAGCTTCATCATCCGACTTCGAATTCTCGGTCACGGGCTACTCCATGATGAGTGCCGACGAGCTCTTCTCCAAAGGCAGGCTGTTGCCCTTCAAGGACAACAACGGCGGCGGCCAAATGCAGAGGACTACTATAAGGGACCAGCTCCTCGTTGACGACGATGGTGATGTTGAAGTTTCGCTCCGGCCGCCGAAAGGTTCATCGCCGCGGTGGAAAGGGCTTCTGGGTTTGAGAAGGAGCCACATTGGGTCGAAGAAAGTTGAGAGGGTCAATCATAGTACTAGTGATCATCAGGCTCCTGTTGGTGAGATCTGTATAAGACCTGGCAGTGGTGGTTTTGTTCATGACCAGGATCATCAGCTGGTGCATGTTGGTCAAAGAAGTTCCCAGGTTAGCAGTTTTTTTTTTTTTTACAGATTGATTTACTTTTTTTGTTGTTGTTGGGGCTAAGTGATTGATGTTTGGTGATTGTTTGGATGTGGTGACAGGAGGTTTTGAGTGATGGAGGATCAGGATGCAGGGATATGGAGATTGGAATATAGAGAGGAAGAAGTACTACTGAATACTGATGAATTGAAGTGAGTAGTACCTGTTTGGAAAAGTTGTTAGCGGAAATGATAGTTTCTGTTTTTTTTCTTTTCTTTTCTTTCTTTTTCTCATCCATCTTTTTGAGGGGTTTCTTGTGGTCGGTAGTTGGAGAGGGGGAGGAATGGTGGGTGAAATTTTAGTTGAGATTTTTACCTACTGTGGGTTTGGATTGAGAAATTTTTTTTCCTAAGAGATCTTTACTGTTAGCTGCTTAAATTCGAAGTTATGGTTATCTTTTGTATTCATCTCTGTTCTTTTTTTTTGCTTCCCCTGTTCTTGGGGAGAGCTTCCATATCTCAGTTCTTCCTAGAAGTTAGAGTCGTCCCATGCTTTCCCTTTTCTTGTACAAAAGTGATTTTTGTAAGTTCGGAAGTCGGAAAAGTTGATTGAGAAATGAGAATAGATCTGTCTCTGTCCAACCCTCACTCTAAAAAGAAACGTTTCGTCTAACCTTCCAAAGAAACTCACTTTTGACTGGGCATAAAAAAAAAACGACACAGAAAATCAGAAGTGTTGACTGTATTAAGATGGGGTAAGTTGGAAGAAGGAAGATACATTTAATATGTGTGCACTGTGCAGTAGCATGTGAACAGCATAAGATGTTTGGTTGGCGATTGGCAGGTGGTACTATTATCTATTCAGCAGTCAAAAACCTAGTGAACTAGTCGAACTTTCTTAAGTTCCTCATAGCCCATGTTGTTAGAGCATTTAAAACTTGTCATTGCATGCATCTAATAGTTGAGATTTGCGGAACACACAGACCTAACAGAGAGTCAATGCTCACACCTATGTTCATCAACATAATGGCAGAGTCGGAACTAGTCCAAGCAGTGCCAATAGCTAACCACTATTTGATCTAAAGATAGACAATTTTGCTCAAAATCATAAGTATTTCCTTACTCAATTCAATTGAGTTGTATGAAACCCAAATACAGGGTAAATAAATAGAGTTTTACGAGTTTATACACATACTCATTTATTTGGGTTGAGTTTGCTTTTTAATTCATGGATTGGGATTTGTACTCATAACCATATACAAATTACAATTGCATACCTAAACTTAATAGATGTTTAAACTTAGTGCTTTAATTTTTATTTTTTTTGCATATAAGTGGAAAATTACATTTTAGCACCTAAATTTTTTGTGTCTTACGATTTGATACTTATACTTTTTGAAGTTTTAAAACAAACTCAAGTAAATGGACATCCATAACCAACCCATACTCATTTAGAGTATTCACCCAATACTTATATCCTACCCAAACCCATCTACAAATCTGAGACTCATATATGCTTCACCCAAACCCAACTCATAATAATTAATGGGTTTACTTGGATTAGATAAAATTACCTAGGTTCATCAACATAATAGCATAGTTGGAACTATTCCAGCTAGTACTGAAACCAATAGCTAACCACTATTTGGTCCAGTCCTGAAGAACTCAAGGGCACTGTAACGTTATACTGTTTTTCGTCCTAGTCTAGTAGAGCTAAAGTAGTTCAATTTGATGGAGATGGAAACTAAAAGAGCCAATAAAATGACTTTTGGGCTCGAATGCTTACCTCCACCGTTTTCTTTGTTATGACCACCACCTTTATTTTCTGCAGCAAAAGCTTTCTGATAAGTCTGGCTAATCTACCCCTGAAATCAGCCTCCTCAGCAGTCAAAAGGGTATATACTAGACAGAGTGGCTCCCCATCCATGATGCATCCGATTGAGAAAAAAAGGGCTGATTCTGCTATTAGATAAGTGACAGAATATTAGTCTCAGCTACAGCTAGGGAAAAAATAAAAAATATCAAGGGCAAAGATCTCTTACCTTAGCCAGTCTTTGTCGCCTACTGGGAGAAGTACCAGCCGCAGAGTGCATTAACTATCTGCATCTCCAAAACAACAAAAATCGGCTTGTTATGTTTACAGTATGCTGCCACATGAAAACCTGAACAAGCTGAGAATGAAAGGAAGAGCAATTCCAGAAAAATGGCGATACATGGTTCTTCAAATCATTACACGTCTACAAAGATTACAACATTACCCTGCTTACAAACAGGAAGATCATTACAATGTTCTCTCTTCATTTGCTAGGCACATTAACTGTCTACAACATTTAAATTTTGGAAAATTACAGCATGTTTATCACACTTGTCTACACTACTGTTGCTTTCCACCTCTGATCTCAAGCAACCGCAAGCCATGCAGAAACCAAACACCTTAGTTTCCGAGTAAGAAAACTACTCCCTGCACCATACTGAAAGTATCGCGACTCTCAGTGATGTTTGAATCCAGAGTAAAGTTTACCATGGAGCAAGAACCTCCCGGTTAAACCTGACCTCGTATCTTTCAGCTCTTGTTTTCAGATTCTCGACATCAGATTCGTACCTTTCATGCGTTGCTTTCAGTCCTACAAGCTTTGCTTCTATGTTTCTTATCTCATCTTCAATGTGGAGTCTCTCAGTTCTAGCTTCCATGTACCTTCTTGTTTTTGCAGCATCTTCAGAATCAAAGGCAAGGGTAACAAGGTGTGTTAGCCTAGCACGTAGAAACCCGACATTCATACCGAAAAGCTCAGTCGCTTTCAATGTCTTATCCCAGGTAGCAAACTCATCCCGTGAAGTTGAAAGATCGCAACCTCTCATGGCATCAGCAATACTAATGGTTTCAGAAATGACCCCAGCAATCAGCTTGAAATTGAGCCCCTTTATGAGATTTTCATGAAGGAAAGCATTTTGACAGCAACAGAGCTTGTAGTACTTTCTTCGTACGTCTTCAGTTAGTTCAGAATCTAAGACTAACCCTTCGATCACAATGCTAAAGTCCTCAAAGCTTTGGATATCTTCAAACTTAAGTCCAGGAAAGGATAATTTGAAACCTTCCAAGACTTCAGAACCAACTTCTTCGCTGTCGTTTTCAGATTGCCCAGCTGGTGGTTGCCCGTCATGAAATGATGATCTTGGCTTGCTAGGCTTCCTCTTCTTCTTTCGAAGGAAAGATGATTGGGGAACTTTACAGCGCCTTTTCTTGGCACTTTTGCTGGGTACAATGGCCATTACTGCATTTACATTACCCTTTTGTTCCATGAAATCTGCCATCCAAAAACAATATCATTAATCAACAGGAATTTCACTGAGAAAACAGTAACCTTGACGATATTATGAACTTGCCTGCGCCATTTTGTTTTATATGAGCATCCAAATTCAGTAGACCTAATGCCCCATCCACTTCGGCCAAATCATTGGACCTTATTATGTAAACCTGCAATTCAGTATAACAATGGTTGTAATCATAAGGCAATTGAACTTTTCCAAGAAACAAAGGCCACATAGACTCTCATCATGTTAATAATACCAATCTTATCATATTTCTTGGAATAAAATCGACCAACTTTGCCAGCTCACCGGCCACAAAGCAGTTACCACAGTCCATCCATAACTTATTCATAACATCTACTTCGATCCCCACATTCCAGTTCTCTCAGCATTGTAGACTTATAGTACACAGGTCTAGTTCCTAAAGAGGCAACATAACAGGCAATGACATAATGATCATTGATAAAGTGATCTCCTTCACAGTTTATCATTGTCCCCCTTAAATGTTCCACTATGATCATAAACACATTCCTAAATGGGGCTGCCTGCTCAGAGACTAATAAGATATAGTGGATCCAGTTCTGTGACTCTCAATGGTCTCAAACATGCGGAAGTATTTAAAGTTTTACTAGGTTTATGCAACATGCCACTACAATATCAGAACACTCAGAGACAGATATCTACCATGCTGGTTGAGAAAGCTATTCTATTGTCTACATAAACAACATTTATCATCAATGGCAACCCAAACAAAGAGTGCCCAAGAAAAGAACACAAATTATGGAAACTGAAAGGCCTACTCAGAACTCACTTTGAATCTGCAGTTTCCAACTAACTGGAATACTAAAGCATCTCCCTCGAGCAAGTTGTGGGCAACACAGAATTGTCTCCAACCAGCACTCAATCCCGTCTTATATCCAATGTACTTGATGTTGAATTCCTTTCCATCCTCATCTTCCAGAGTAACTGTAGTATCCTCTTGAGGTAAGTTTGCTCTACAAAAAGGCCCAGGAAGACCCTGTCACAGAAACACACACTCATGTCACTTTAACAGACCTGTGATTCTCCAACAAAGCTACTAGTCAAATAAAAACACCATGCTCACTGAGCTTACCATCCAAAAGCAACTTCCGACGTGTGATCTGACTAAAGCTTTCAGAAAGCTAGGAAATTCAGGTTCCAAATTTGATTGAATTTCTTCAGCACGAATCAGAGCTGGTGACTTGACTTCCTTAGGAGTGCTCAACACATCCGTCCTAGCCTCATGTTGCCCACAACTTCAAGAAGCATTGTCAACATTCAGTGTGATTCCAAATGCCGGATAGATGAATTAACATAGTCAAAAATGAAAAACATACTGTTTTTTGGCTCGCACTGACCTTATGCACTTCCCTGCATGACTGGACATTGCCTGCTCAACAATCAGTTAAAAGTTCATTAGAAGGATAAAACATTCACAAGCAGATGGGGAAATTTTAATTTGTACAGAATAGTAAACAGCTAAAATGCTAACATACGAGCAAATCAGACAGCAAAGAGAGTGGATAGGCGAGATTTAAGCTTGGAACAATCATGTCCAGCAAACAAGATCTGAAGCCACTCTTAGAAAGAGTTTCACTTCAGCACCCGGCAAAATGAACATGCATATGGACTCGCACTCCAGGAGCTTGTAATACAAACCACTTAGATCTACCCTCGAGACTTGGATCAAGCTGTGATCATCTTGAGAAACGACCTCTTGGAAACTGCATTTTCGCCAAGGAAATAAAAACCGTACACGTCTTCCACCAAAGTCTTAAGAATGACTACAGTACGCAAGAAGCAGAGTTCAGCTCTCGTAAACCCTTGTCGACATCGACATTCATCAGAGCCGAGAAAGCATACCTAATTCCAGCCTTAAAAACTTACCTGACGACAAGGAAAGGGAGAAATAATGAACTCTTACATGATCAATTTTGGAATCGGAACAGGAGAGCTTGATCTTCAAACGCCTCTTTCTCTTCTCAATCGGAATGTCCAGCGGCACCTGGCAAAAAGCAAGAAGTCGCAAAATGACGCCTAAGTCAGTTCGTACTGCAGACGCCAAACCTCCACAGAAAACGGAATCAAACGCCAGAATCCCGCATTTCGAGACTCGAACTAAAATCCGGATAGCAGGAAGTTAACAGGCTGCTTGAAACTGGAAAGGAAATGAGCACAAGAAGAAGAAACACTGAGATCTGATTCCATCTGAACTTCCACCCATTCCCTTTCCCGCCGTCGGCCGAGGTTTCCAGAGTTACCGAACTGGACAGGAGGACCGGAGATACGAGGCCCAAAAAGGAAGCAAGAGCGTGGGTGTACCGAGATCGGAATAAGGTCGGTGTTGGGGTTAGCGTCAGCAGAATCGGGAGAGAGAGACAGTCTAGTGAGAGTAGCAGCGTCGTCTTCACCGGCGGATTTGTAGTCGTCATGCGGCATCGGAGAAGCTCTGCTCGAATCTCCGTCTTCCACTTCCTTCTTGACGGTTTCGCCCATGGCTTATTTGCTCCGACGAAGTGAGACTGCTGCTTGCTGCTTCCAGGCACGAAAACCTCAGGAAAAATGCGAAACGGAAGAACGGGGGGAAAGAAAGACCCTGGAGGAAAAAAAGCAACTCAACGCAAAACAGGAAAGGTAATACAGGGGAAAAAGACGAAAATTAAAAGAAAAAAAAAAAACAAGATTGTAGTACGACGGGAATTAGGAGTGTTTAATACGGTAATCAAAATTGACCGTTTAACTGTTAACCCAAGAAAATTTTAAAAAACAATATGTTTGCAGGTTGGTGCATTTCGGTTGGGCTATCATGAGCCCGGTATCACTTTACTTGGGCTACCGTGACCTTGACGGTGGGCCCAGAGTTCTTCCACCCTAAATCCCTAATCGTACTGCGCGTTTGCAAACTAGGGTAGAAAATGATTCGGTTTAAAATAATAATCCACATTCATGATAGTAAAAGTATCCAAAGCGAAATTTTAATATTGAGGAGTTGTTTAGTGTTCGGTTTATAGGTCGGGGGTAGCAATAGGGTAGTCCATATGGTGGCTCGGAAGGCCCTTTCTTTGTACCCGACTATGAGTCGTTATTTTGATTTTCAGGCCTGACTGATCTCCAGGGTGTAACTGTCTATCTTTTTTGATCTATTACATGATTATCTTTTGTAAAAAAAATAAAATTTTTTGAGGAGTTGTTTACCAATGAATTATTTGGTACCGGCATTTGAAAGTATAAATATTTTAGTGATTATACACTTGTATATGTATTTTCTATTTAGAAATATTTTTTAATCTTTTTATGGTAAATTGTTGATAATTTTTTATTTTCATTTAGTTTGGTAATATTCGTTATGTAGCCTATTTTACGCTAGGTTGTACTTCTTTTGTCATATTTCAAGTCATGTTACGTAGATATGACTTAGGAACGAGTTTCCAGACATTTGGTGGTGAAAAGGGGACCAAAGAGGATCGAGCGTCAAAGTCACATCCTGGAGCGTGATATTCCTTCCCAGAATGTGACATCCATCGAGAAAAAGAGGCTTGGTCGAAATTCATGGCCAAGAAGCTCATGTCATGGTCCAATTCGTGCATCTAGATTGCCAAAGATGATAATCCTAAATAACAAGAAGAAGGAAGCAAGGTCACGACCTGTTTTTCGAAATCACGACCTCACTAGTAAAGTCACAGCCTGGGTCGTGACACTCCTAAATCACGACTTGAACCCGAGTGGGCAACTTAATGGAACGACTTTGTTTTTATCACAATTCATGACCTGAAGTTGAATGTTACGACTGTTACTTGGCCCGTGACTTTGACCCTGTCGAATATAATAGAGGGATGATGAGATTTTCTCAATGGACTGGAGTTTTGACAGCATAAAACAATCAAGAAGAGCCCTAGAGAGAGAAAGTGACAAGAGAACACCCTTTGGAGCCGATTTTATTGATTCTTTCACCAATGGAGTTCACGTTTCATCCCTTGGAGTGAAGATTACCGATCTATAATAGATTAGTGTTGTTATATTCTACTCTTCTAGTGTATTCCTCTCTCTACATATATGGATTAAACCTTTCACTCACGTGGATATATGAACCCTAGTTTCGTTTGTTAGAATTTATGTTTGTTTGAACCCTTGTTTGTTGAGCTTAAAAAAGTTATATATATCCAGTTGATGCATCATTCGAAAAATTCCAGAGCCTTGATCACGTTCTTATGATTTCTAATTTAATCTAGGAGAGAGGATATATGAATAGCTTGATAGAGCTTCATCAATTGGAAGTGGAGAGTCAATTGCACGAGAGTGAATTGATCACCTACTTTATACTGTATTTCAATCTAGTAGCGGGAATCTAATTTGGATTGCCTTGACATTCTGTTTCAATTGAGAATAGTGTCCCTCTAAGTAGTCTATCCAAGTAGACCTTCTTTACTTTAATTGAGACTCGAGGCTCGATATGGATTTTCCACCATATAAACATCGAGTAAAATGAAATATGGAATAAACAACATTAATCTGACCAGACACAAAGGGGAATCATACATGAGTGACCTTTTCTCTGATTGAACTTGAATCAATCTTCTTATGACTTTCTTAGTTATTAGCTGCTTTCATACAAACTTGCTTGTTGAATAAAAATTTGCATTGATTATTAAATACATCTAGGGGTTGTTTGATTTATGGATTTGGATCCATGATGGACTTTGTCCAAAATCCATTATTTGCTTCAAATATTTAGTGGTAACAAATCTGCAGAACCCATGGACTTTGAGGGTCCAAATCCGTGGACCCCACAGAATTGAAAATCCCACCTCTTTAGGTGGGAATTGATTATGGACTTTGAAGTCCATCATTTTATACCAACCTACCCTTCATATTTTCTTTCTCTTCTTATATAATTGAGGGCAATAAAGGTAAATTATACTTCATATATACAAATTTAATTAACAAAATCCATCAAACAAACAATGGTGTTTAACAAATCCACAATGAACCTAAACCCCTCATATATCCATGGTTTTTCAAAACCCAAGTTATACCAAAACCGTCATTTTTCAAATCCACGACGCAAACAAGCCCTAGGGATCCCGGATTAATAAATTAAACTTACTGCCACTATACTACTTCCCGATCATTGGTTGCACTTGCCATCTTGGCCTTTGATTGAGTTATAGATTTAGCGACTGAAATTTTTGACGACGTTGCGGGGGGCAGCTCACGATTTATTAGGAAAGTGAACATCTGTTACTTTAGCTTTCTTTTATGCTATTTGTTTCCATCCCACCTTTGCGTTTCATGATTGTTCTTGGTAGTGTGTGGCTGATAGTGCATGACTCGTAGCCAACCGGGCGACTTACTTCATTTAGACGAAAACATCAACCAAACCTTACGCAAACATGTGAGAGAAAGGGACCGAGGCAATTTCTGGAGCAAGCAACAGATCACAAAACCCCTTAAGTGGAAGTTGAGTTTGGCGCAATGAGAAACAAACATCGACACCCACCGCCAAATGGCGAGCCAAAGAGGACCATGAGGTACTACCTCACCCCAAGGTCAAAGACATTCAATTTAGCATCTGACACCCACTTATTTGCTGTCAATAATTTTGAGATCAAGACAATCATGATCTCCAAGATCAAAAGCAACATCCAGTTCCACGGGCTGAAGGATGTTGAGCCACTGGAGCACCTCGATTGTTTTTTGGAGTTAAAAGATGGCATAAAAACAAAAGGTATGTCGCATGATGCATCTGATTGCGTCTCTTCCCATTCTCTCTAAGCGGGCGAGCAAAACAATGGCTAAACAATCAAGCTCCACTCTCCATAATCTCATGGTAGGATTTTGTGGAGAAGTTCATAGCCCGCTACCATCCTCCTGCCAAAAATGCCGAGTTTGGAAGAAACCCGCTTATTTTGCTTAGGAGGAAGATGTGAAATTACGTGATGCATGAGAGCAATATTCTAGTATATTTATAAAGTGACCACATCACTGGTTTAATGACGGGTTTCAATTGTATACCTTCTACAATGACATGTTCCAAGAAGATTGCTAGTTGATTGACTCCTTATGTCCAAGAGGTACGTTGAACGAGATCCTTCCCTAGATGAACCAGTTATTTAAAGAGATGGTTGCAATAGGGTATGAGTGGGATGTGCCATGAAGAATCAAAGTACTGAGAGAAAGAGGTGTGATGCTTGTCGATTCTAGCACTTCTCTTGAGACCAATGTTGAGGAAATTATCAAGCAAATGAATCAGATAGATGCTCCTTCCGGAAATCGGTCGGGTTCTCATGTTATGATGTACAATTGGTGCAGGAGTACTAACCATGTAATGGAAGAGTGCTAGGCTACAATAAAAGCCACCATACCTCAGGAGCATGTAGACTTTATTGCTAATGCCAAAGATGGCAATCCATACAAGAATACCTACAATCCAGAGTGGTGAGATCACCCCAACTTGGCATGGTCTTCATTGAGCATCCTAGGCCACCTAGATTTCAAGCTCCAACTGCAGGTTTCCAGCAGATACCCCACTTAAAGCAGCAGAATCAGCCACAACAATTCCAGCAACAACACTCATATCAATCACTAGGACAACCAACCAGGCCCATCTCATCGACCTCATGACAAGATGTCTAAACTAGATACACTGGTGACATCATTTGTGAGCACCAATACCCAAAAGTTTGGGTGCATCAATAAATTGATTGATGTGGCTACTGAGAAGTTTTTTATCGTCAAATCCAGATTGCGTAATCACCAGGCTTCTCTACGGAACACGAAAACGCATATGGAAAATATTGATCAATCTCTCACTAGCAGATCTCTCAGCTTACTTATTAGTTATATTGTCACAAATTTAAAGGAACATAGAGAGAGACTGCATATCATCACTTTAAGAAGTGAGAAGGTGATTGAGGACGCGCCTCCAAGGTGTCAATAAGAGGTGGAGATCCCTCCACCAACAGCAAAAGAAGAGTAGGAGCAGGAAAAGAAGGCGGATGTTCAAAAACCAAAACCAAAACGAATAGTGGCCAAATATAAACCTCAACTCTCTTTTCCTACTCGGATGCATAAAGATGGCATGGAGTCAAAGTTGACGAAATTCATGGGCATGTTTAAGTAGCTGCACATTAATGCAAACAATTATGTTCAAATCTTACTCAAACTTGCCTCTTAAACATCATCAGTTAAGGGAATGCAAATGTTAGAAAATGAGAGGTTTAGGAGGACGAAGAAAGGGTAAAAATGAAAAATTGTGGAGGATGAAGAACAAATAGAATAAGAGGAAGAGTTTGGTACTTAACAAGGGAAGATTAAAAAAAAAAGAGTGTGTGAATGAGAGAGAGAGAGAGAGAGAGAGAGAGAGAGAGGGAGGATGAGGAGGAGATTTGAAAGGTAATTGGATCTCTAGGGTTGATTAGGGGTGGGAATCGGTCGGTAAACGGTAAACCGTTTACCGAATTTACCGGTTTCGGTATACCGACGGTGGCCAAACTGCTTACCGTTTACCGATACCGGTTTGTAACCGGTTTACCGATTACCGAATTACCGGTAAACGGTTACAAACCGGTTTACCGAATTACCGCAA